ATCGTCAAAAAGCTGACACGTGTAAGCTAAGCGCTGACTCATCGTCTTGTTAATCGATGATCGATGAACATGAGGATGAACATGAGGAATTAATACTTTCACACCTAGGCCTAAAGTAAGCAGGTCTAACTCACGGTCAGCGCACAAGTCCTTGGACCACATGCTTCCCTCGAGGTCGTGCACATGCTTCCCTCGAGTTCATGATCAGAAAATTCTGACAGTCTGGCGTTCGCGAACCAAAGATGGATGGTTTATTTCAATGTTGCGAGAGAATTCAAATACCGACGACAAGACCAGATCCGACAACGTCTCGGAAGTCGCGACTATGAAGAAGGGCTGACATTTTCTTGTGTCTTGTGACCAACCAAAATTTTTGCTTCGTCCCTTCTCGTAGGTTATCTCGGCTGTCCAACCATTTCTCTATCACTGCTTAGCGCCAAAAGATATATCCATTTTCATTTCATTTCATTACAGCACAGTGTAATAATCGTGCATATTAAACATACGATAAAACACAGACAAAGAAATGTTCAAAACACACTATTTCATTACAACGCACAAAATTCGTAGTTAAGTTATAATCGTGCATAATAATCTATCAAACCTAGACAAAAAGTGTCATGGGTATATGGTATCTGGCACACTGGAATTACAAAAGAGCGGAGCAAAAGGATCACAAGGCTTGACGACAAACTCGGCGATTACACTTGACGACAAACTGGACGTAGCTTGGATCATTTTTGCCTTCTCCTTGAGCGCCGACGCCGTTAACGCAAGGTTGTATGTCGTTGGTACCGCCTTCTTGTCGAGCTTGAGTCATGGGATTTGATATCCTCCCAGACCTACATGCAACGTTGCCGCGGCAGAGACATCAAGCACTCCGAGCGGGATGATCTCGAGAAAATTCATTGCGCCTTGCACGAGGAGGCCGTTCGGGATTGGGCCCGAGTTGGCGGTCCGGTCTGGCGGGACGAGATGAAGGAGTCAAAGTATTGCTCGAATGAAGCGTACGTCTTGCCATGGACACCACAGTCAGATTGGAAGAACTCGATGACGAGTTCTGCACCGAGAGAGTTGTGTACTTGAAAGAAGAATGAGGCTACAAAGAGAAAGTAAGGGAGGAGTAACTCACATCAAAATCGACGGTTACGAGATTGGTCAGGAGGCTCTCGAGAGTGATCGTGATAGCGATGTGAGTAATAAAGGCCCTACTCGGGGGATGATCTCTGGCGTTGCTGACTGGTCGACGTCATAAGAAAAGAGAGCGCCGGATTGGTAGCATAAAAAAAGAGAACGCCGGATTGGTAGCATAAGACAAGAGAGCGCCGGATTGGTAGCATAAGAAAAGAGCGCCGGATTGATAGGCGCCGCCGACAAGGTTGATACTAAGGTTGAAGTGAGTTTGACCGAGCCCTTGTGCGTCCAAACCGAAACTGTTGATGCCGGTAATACGTCGAAAGTACATGAATCTGCTGCGGGTTGTTCCTTGTCGCCTGTCCACACACCGTATTCATCTAGTTTCTGCTGACCTCCGTTTAAGAGATCATAACATGCAAAAGCTTGATACGTGAACCTTCCTAGGCCAAAGCTGTAATACAAATGTAAAGAAACAAGTTTCAACCATTTTGCGGATGACGGTGCACCTTGATCTCCATCGTCTACCAAATGTGATTCTTCCTCTGCGCAAAGTACCATGGTTCTACGTATGCGAGGTATGCCTATATCACTTGCTTGCCTTGAGTCTAATGTGAGTCTTAACTGCCTGAAGACGGGAAAGATGGGAGGTGCAGGTGACGAACCTCCGAGAAAATCCTAATATCGGGATTATTGTCGATGTCATCTTTCAACCGTCTCTCTGCAATCAGATGATATCCACTATACGCGGGATACGGTGACATGAAATCAATGACTGCTTCAAACGCAATACCACCGATGGACCTGAGCGAATCCTCTTCCCGCCGACGAATATGCATCGCTTCGATGAGGCGTCTATTGCATTCGCGAAGAATTGGTATCACGCCGAAAACATCATCGATAAATTCGTCTACGCCAAATCGGACAGCAAAAGGCTTGGTGGTCTTGAAGGGGAGGATAACGCTTTCTTTGACTGTATCTAGGCTGTGGACGTAGTGTTCTTCCTTCTCGATGAAATTGTGAATGACTCTGACAAGTCTCATGTCGGATTCAATTGCAGCGACGGAAGAAGATGCGCACTCTTGTCGACGAATCCCGGTCTCCCGACAGATGGTACATATGCATGATGCATGACTGCTGACCCGACCTTTGCTTCCCATGTTCTGGGAATAAAGGCTTGCAGTTCTTCGAGTGCTCGTGCCAATACCGCTGCTAAGTCTCCCAAATACTTTTGTTCAGGATCTCAATAAAAGATATCTGGTTTCTCTCACCTGTCGGGGGCAGACAGATGAATAACAGGGACCACTCTGAGCAAGTCAGAGAATAGCACCGGGTCAAAATTGTTACAATGCCGGTCGGGAGATTATCATCAAATTCGTCGTCAAACGATATCGCATTGTCAAGGAAATTGAATTGATCCTCTGAATTATCCTGGACCTTCGCTGAATCCCATTCAACTTCGGCAAAGAAGAAGTAGCTTTCACTCAAGTTTTAGTCCTCTCAAAAATCAGGCCGTCGGCGTTTGCACGTGACTGATTACATAAACGCGAAGAAACGACGACATTGACAATGACAACTAGTGCTCTTGCTTGTTCAGTTGTCTTGGATTGTTGGGTTTGGTTCTCTTCTCATTTGCTGGACTGATTTACTTAAGTTTCATACCATGTCTTTCTTCAACTCTATTGGGTGGGTTAGTCCCTTACATGTTGGACTGAATTTCATGGTTTCATTCCTAGTCGGTCAATGACCCGAGTTCAGCGGCCAAAACGGTCTCCGACGCCGACTTCGGCGACAATTTCGCCTCTAGAGATGCCCCCACCGAAGCCATCACTACCATCATCAACTGTTGCTCCCCAGAAGCCCCTCTATCTTTGCAGTCCATTTGTTGAGGCTGCCCTCGTCAAAGGAAACTTCAAAACCATTGTAATGCTACCGAAATATGTGAATATCATGGAATGGGTTGCGGTCAATAGTACGCTGTTCTTATGTATCATATATCAGCAACTAAAAGTTGCGCCGGTCATGTGTCAGTTTACGATTTCTATACAAACCTCAACGAATTTTACGGCGCAATAGCAGAGTGCTGTAATCAGTCAAACTGCCCAAAGATGTCAGCTGGTCCGACGTACGCTGCTACACTTATAACTGCCATATCTGCGTCACATTATCCAACAGATTGAACTATACCTGGATAAATCAGGAACGCAAAAGTGTACATCTGCCTGCTCCGACATATATAGACTATGTTATGACTTGGGTGCAAAATCTGATCGATGATGATAAGACGTTTCCAACTAAAGCTGGTGCGAAACAGCGTCTACTGCTCTCCTACTTACTTAAGATTTTTGTATTACGTTTCTAGGACAAGACTTTCCGCCTAATTTTCCATCAATAATCAAGCACGTTTACCGACAGCTTCTTCGTGTCTTCGCCCACATATATCACGCACACTACCACCAAATTCTTCACCTACGTTCCGAGCCACACTTTAACTCTCTTTTCGCTCATTTCCTCGCGTTCGGTCGGGAATACGAACTTTTAGAGGTCAAGGACCTGAAAGGAACATCTTCCGCGCCAGTTGGTATCGGTCAGTTGTGGGAAGTATGGAAGCAGATGGGCATCCTGGAAGGATAGGGCTGACAGTGCTCCAATGTATCACCGGGATCTGGTATCCCTGCCCTTGTTTTCATCTGTTTCTACTGCTGTTTCTCCTGATACTGCTTTCGGATGATCTTGTTTAGAGTTTCTGTTCACTTGTCAGGCATGCGTGCAAACCGGCTATCCTTCCAGTCTTACCGTCTCGACCTCAGCGGTACTTGCCCGTGTCTCCTCTAGACCCTCTGGGTTCGACATTGGGTGCGTCGACGAGAAGCATCACTTGAATTAGGTATTATGGTCACGTACATCGTAAGAAGTGACAGGCGAGGGGGATTTCCGGACAATTGCCAGTGTTTATTTTCATCGACGCACCGGAGCATGTTTCGCTGCATAAACGCTTTGCGATCTGCCCGTTGTGTTTGTATCATTTACATCGACCGACCACCTCGAGCACTAGCACTGAGTCTTGCTTGCATCCCTCCTACCGGTTTCTCTCCCACGTTTACTCTCATTGAAGGCCAATCCAATCGTGCTTACTGTTGATCTTGGACACTAGAAAACACTGAGCACAACAAATGGTGACTGCAACACTTCACGAGCGTTCAGTCCCGCCTGATACAAAATGACAACATTCATCTCTCTGAGATTCATGACCGTCATCATGAGCAAGTGTCGACCATGACGGGCTTGTCTCATAGATGGGACTGGTCATCATACATCTCTCTTATGCTGGCTGTGTTGTAATACGAGATTGCTTTCGATGGCAGCCATTAAGTAGCCTGACTTGAGTTGGCTGATTGATACTGGCAATTTATCTCCCAAGATGTGCTCCATGAGAGGTTAGAAGTCACTACTCGACTTCAGAATGACGCGTACCTTAGCTGCCATGAGTCTGTCGTACTTACCGCTCAAAAGAATAAGCTATTGGCAGTATCACGTGAGTCTCGGACAGGATACACATTGCTCGCAGGGTAGATATATACTTTTATCTGTGGTTGTCATCTGGTTTCTCTTTTTCGTTTCTTCTGTGCCTTCAGAAGGTGGTTAATTTCGTGCGTAACTACGTTGTCAACAAACACTCTGACGTAAATGAGTTCACCTCATGCCAGACATCATGCAATACTTACTCACTTCGTTTTGGTTCAACGTAGTAATTTTGTTTTGTAGTTGGTGACTACTTGACCTATTCCATTTTGTAGTGAGTGACTACTTGACCTGTTCAACCCTCAATTGTTAATGGAAAGAAAGACACAAAAATTTCACAGAATAGCCCACCGCGAGGGTCGAACTCGCAGCCTTCAGATGTTTTAAGCCCTATGTGACCGTAAAAGTCTGACGCTCTGGCCGATTGAGCTAGGCGGGCTTATTCATTTTTAGCACATATGATATTCATATTTTTAATTCAGGGTCACAAACGCCTTCCAGTTTCTTCTAGTTTAGGTCTGATCATCCAGCTTCTGCCGCACTGCCGGGAAATAATCACTCATAAGTACGTATAACATTTATTACATTCCTAAGTAACATGCAGAATGAGGTTCATTTATGTATTTTCATCATGAGACGATATCTATCGACTTGGTTCTGACTCATAAGACAGATTTTGTGAACTTCCTTTTGCTTGCCCTACCTATGAGAGCATTGCCGTGATGATATAAGGCAAAAGAAGTGAGTGTACGCGAGGAAGGGGAGAAATCTTGGCGGCTCATTCAAGGTGAACAACAATTGAACCGTTGGCAACTCTATCTCTGCGAGGTCGATACACAAAGCAAGCGGCTATTAGCCTTACTGATTTCGTTCGGACCACAGGTTGTTCGGTGAACCGCCCAAGCTTTTTTCTAACATGACTTGGAGCAGGATCTGATGCCCCTACACCTACCACAAGACTTGTGCATGACTGTTCGCTCGGCTACGCCACACTGCATTTCAGGTTGCACGTCAGCATTATATCTGGATTTTGAAAGAAACGCATGGGCAAGAAATACCTGCGGATAGCCACATATTCTCTTATATTTTCCAGGTGATATCAACTCCGTTTTGCACTCCTGAAGATAATTCATAGCTTGCATCCATCTTGTCCATACTGAGAAAAGTTTGCAGCCTTGGGGAATTGCTGTTTCTAGGGTCAAGATACTTTGAGATCCCAAGATCTGGCCAGCGGGCTTTGATACCACAGGAAAGACAGAATACACCATGATCTCTCTAAGCAAGAGCTCGCAGTACTTCCCGAGCCCGTTTGCATCCCAGTGATGTGCACCTTTTGAGTAGAGAGAGAACAAGAGCAGATCGGAGTAACTTGACAATCCAAGTATGATCTTGAGCAACCAAATGATGCGTCACCGAGAGTCTGAGGGAAACTGCAACGCACTCAATTATAAGACTTTCTTTTTCAGGTGCATGAGTCTCAGGAATGAGTAGCGAAGTAAAATAAGAAAGTACATGGCAGACATCACCCACAACTCCTTTGGTCTGAAGTGATTCATAGACACAAGTGATGTGAGTGAAAAGGGAATAATGGACATCCACAACGTAGGGATAACATTCCATCCACGATGCGCCTCCGTGAGCTGCCTGGTGAACAGGATGAAACATCTTTTTTGCGAGGTGAGCGTTATTGGAACCAAGAAAATCCACCAGCTCCTGTTGATTTGAGAACAAAGACTCGAGAATTGTCAAGAGGACGTGGCTTATACTGGCGAGATGATGTTTTGGAAGGATGTTGGGGTCGGGATCAGGCGGAAGAACACTTTGACGAATGTACATTTCAACTATTATCTTGAGAACACCTTTCGTCGATAGTATCTCGCCACCAACTGGACGGGATGGGTGGAAGAATGCTACCAACAGCCGTTCCAGAGAGTATAAAACAGTAAGCCTGTCTTGTGTTGATTCAGGAAAATCATCCCTGCCTGGGCATGTGACAAAATGATAGAGGAAATCGATTACTGGCCAGGATGGCAGAAGCATCTTAGCGAATCCCAAATCAGTGGTCACCGCCACAAAAAGACCCTGTATTCCCAACAGAGCCATGTTAATGCGATCGTTATGTACGTGATAGTCTGAATTCTTTATTCCATGGCCTGGTGGAAAGCCGGCAGGTAGTGGAGGGGTTTTGAAATGTTGTATCAAGAGAACTAAGATATGAGATTACAGTGACGGGGAGTTGTTTGATTGCACTCAATCTATGAGGTCAGGCAGATAGCGGATTGGATTTGCGAATGAAAGGTGAACTAGAACCTACAAGGACACTCATAAATCCTAGGCACAAGACGTCGGGGATGCTTGAAACTTGCCTTAACTTCAGGTGGCAACAAAGCTGGTGAGCTCATCTTAGATAGTTTCAAATTGTGGCATCATGAACTGAGAGAAATACGACGATCGTCATAAAGTTGGGCGGCCCAGACTGAGTAAGACAAGGATGTGTCCACGAATAGGCTCTTCCCAACGTAGGAGTAACCTAGCTTGCACGCCTAACATCCATATCTGGTTTGACACGGATCAATTGACCCATACTTGATCGACTGTAGCATTCCTTGCGTCCGTGTCACGGGTACTCTTACTTATTCAACTCCTTTTTGATTGGCTACACGGCTTCTGACATTGAAGTTTCAGAAGACGCACATGACGTGCTAGAAGGCGTAAGATCGCGACCTCTGTAGAAGTACGCAGGCGAAAAGACATCAAAACAACCTCCGACATGTACGAGTTGATTATCTTTCATGTTCCACAAGACGACGAGCTCTTCAAGACGATTCACTTTCTGCCTTTTTAGGCTCAACTCCCACCTGTAACCAAGGATAAGTCACATTGCCTACGCTAGAATATACATAAAGCTGATCCATGGGAACGACTCACCTTAGCAGCCTTCCTAGCTTCACCCAAGTCAGTGGGGCCCTCCGAACCGTTTTCTTGGAATGTTCCACTGGCATCCTTGCTGACCTCAGGTTCTTTTGGTACTGCGGGAGCCTCGGAGGCGGCCTCAGAGGTGGTTCCCTGGCTGACGGCATCAGCCTTGGGCACATCATCAGCCTTCCACCGACCAGACAAAATTAGCAACAAATTATCACGAGTGGATATTAGGCGCACCGATGCGACAAGAGAATCCGCAATATTTACCTCTGTACCTTCATCGTCCTTCATCAAAACTGGCTCCGGCTCTGTTGTTACCGTAGGTTCAGGTTCAGGTTCGGGCTCAGCTGGCTTAGCAACTGGTTCAAGAGCGTGTTTTTTGTGGCCAGGGAAGTCGTGCGCGTCATTGTGAACATGCCCTGTATTTTTGCGGGCAGAAGGGGAAATGAGGTATAAGAACTGTCAAGGAATTTATAGACCTTAGTTAGATCTGCAGAGACGTTCTGTGTTACTTACAGCGGGGCCAAAGAGGAGGGCAGACCCAATCTGTATTGCGCAATGAGACTTGGAGGAAATTATCAATAACGAAATGCAACACACTATCCAGGGTTTGTCCGATTTGGGGGTGGAAGCCGTATGTGAATTCAAACGACGCGCACCGGCACGGAACGTCGACGACGCGCTGCGCAGTGATGCACGGGCTGTCGACGTGAGGGATTGACGGGCAGCAGCGACAAATGACATAGATGACGAGGATTTGGTAGAAGCGTCGGCCTTCAACTTTTCAAACACCGGGTCAGACCGGCACTTGATGACGTGAAGCCTCCATTCAACGTCGGCATCAACAGTGACCTCAACATTACATACTCGCTCGACGGTTTATAACGCTGTTCTTTCTAACTATTGTCAAGCCTCAAGCGCGCGAAATTCTGAGTTGCTCTTGAGTCTAGCCTTTACATCCATATCATGCATTGTTTTAGATCACTTCTCGTCGCCAGAAGACAAAAAATATCTCTGTTGTTGTTGCTGCTGTTTCATTCTAGTTATGTTTTGGTTAATAACAAAGATGCAAGTCGCTTGTTTTTTCGTGCTGTCTCTGTGAATCCCTTGCCTGCGACTATTATGATCCTCTAATCTAAGTTTTTTTTTCGAATTAACATCGCAAGCGAACTGCTAGATGACCGAAGGTACACAAAAACACAAAAACAACATGATAACGACAGGTCAAAACCACGGACTCGGCACAAGTAAAAACCACAGGAAGCAGACCAGCGTCATGAAGACTTTCCTCATGATGCATAATCCCAGTTCAGTCCTAGCTGTGAAGCAAATACGAGTCCCATAGCCGCTTGAAAAGGATCTTCTTCCGCGAGTTGTGGGTCCAGCAAGCGATTCATCATCTCGTCCATCGAGAGGCTTTCGTCGGGGAATGGTCTGAGAACATCAAGGTACTTCAAAGGTGCTGTGGTAGAATCAAAGAGAGAGCTAGTCTGATCATCAAATCGAGTCTCATTGTCATTTTGTCCGACAGGTGATAATTCAGGCAATCCAGTCATATTTGGAACGAAAGAGTGTTGTTGGGAAGTTTGAATACAAGATGCGATCGAGGTCGGAATAGCACCATCATCACTAGTTGTAGATTGGATTAATCGTCGAGCTCTTGTAATTTCCAGATTGGTAGTGGTAAACAAAGGCGGCAGATTCCGTGGTCCAGAAGAACGAAGCTTGGATGATGCATGACGTGCAGGCTGGGGATACATTGGTTGGTTTTCCTTGCTATTCATATCGCCCTGTGCCTGCGGTGTTCCAAAAGGGGCTTGAGAGTAGTGAAGCAGATGAGAAGCCGGGACTGTGTTCCAGTCTAAAGGCAGTAGCGGTCGAAGAGGGCGATCAATGCGGGGGACGAACTTTGGTAGAGCAGAAAACGAAGGGTGTGGGTTGGGGGTATTGGATCTATTGAGTCCTTGGGGTTTCTGTGAGGTTGTTTTGTGGTCCTTACTACCTCCTTGAGGGCTCTCTATAGGATTTGAATCCTGCCAAGGATACACACAACCAAGGCGTGGGCCGGCAGTTTCAGCAGAGAGCATTTTGGAATTGTGATCGGTACTGAGAGAGGTCTTAGAGTCAGATGCGATTGCATTCGAGACTGTAGCCAGGGTAGGACGCCTGGCCGAGGGACACGGACTGAAAGCTTCAAAAGGCTGAGAGTCTATGGTGATTGTAGAGGGATGAATCAAGTCATTCTGATTAGGAGTTTTCGGCTTGTAAATCACAGGTACCATCTCGCGCAATATGAAAGTCGATGTCGGAGAAGCTCGGTCAGCTGGCTGGGGCTGAGCTTCGAAGAGATGCTGTTCGGAAGACGATGGTCCCGAGCGGGAAGCCAGAGGCGCACATATAAATGGAGGCTTGAGGGGACTTGTAGGATGCATATGGGGGTATGGAGTCGAATCGCTCGTTCGTTTCTTTGTTGATTTCCTGGCCGTCTTCTTAGTTGACTTCTGCGAGGGTACGGGT